TATGATTATACTTTCTGAGGCTTTTAAATTTTTTGAGATATTGAATATCCTGTACTTCTTGAAATTTATAGTACGCACATGCACATTGCTGTTATAACATTCTAATATTTTTAGTGTATCTACACCTAAAACTTTTAGCATTATGAGATTTTTGATGTACTTAAGTCTTCAAAGATTTATAGTCTTTTAAGATTTATTAGTGGAGACATTGTAAATCATTTGCTCTCATGAAGTCTTTCCAATAGGATCTTGTCTACTGCTAACTTTTCATCGAGTCTTCCTTATGGACATGCCTTTTTATGGGTATGAGTGAAGATCCTATTTGTCACTTATCCTTATAGAGTTTTTTCAATGAGGTCTCTGTCTACTACTATCTTTCTATTGGTGTTTTCTCTTGGATGTGTGGTCCAAGGGTATTATAAAAATAACGACTTATACCAACAATATACAAAATATGATAAGCAATGTCATTTGCTAACGTTGAAGAGGTTGGAAGAAGTTCACGATGAATGTTTGATCTATTTGAAACTATTTGTTGGAGTTCTTGACGATGTTGGAATATAAAAGTTATCAGAGAAGATTGATCATAGATGTTTGACCCATCTTTGACTACTGTGTCATGACCCGACCAGGTGCATAGAATTAACTAAGGCGATAACTGCAGTTGAACAATATTATTTCATTTTAATTTCTACAAAATGTTTCAAAAACTTCGAGTGTATAAATAAGTCACTAATCCACAAAGTGCGATAAAATTAAACATCCAGAAACATCAACATAATCTGAAAACCACATCTCAAACTAGGACTGGACAGTAAATAAAGACAAATAATAAACGAAAATTACAAACATATCATAACTAGTATCTATCAGCTGCAGTCCTCATTTTGTAAATTAAATCTCTTATATCAGACATATCAACCTAAAATTTTTTTTCTTCTCAAAGAAAACATTAATTGCAACTTTTAGTATAAATTAGTGAGCAATTATAATATAATATACATTAAAATCTTATGTTATGTTATGTTATGTATGAATGATCAAAAGAAATGTAATTTATTTCATTAAAACTTTAAATTTATCATTTTTAAACTTTTTAATAGTTAACATAGGATTATCATCATACCCAAAGATATTTTCAAAACGTACTCGAGGTTCCCTAAAAAATATGTCCGAATACACACTCAAAATTGTATCTGAAGGTACCCTTGAATTGTACCTGAATGTACACTTTTACTATTTCCTTTAACGTGCATGATTATTTTGCATCCCATGTCAGTACTATATGAGGGTAATCTTGTATGACTTAAATCTTTACCTTTCATTTTATTTCAATTAAAATCCTTTAAAATGCACATTCATATGCAATTTATTTTCCTCTCATCTCTTGTGACATTTCAGACTTTCAATATGTAAGGTATAACTGAAAAACTTATTTTAAACAACCATTAATTTAATGCATAGAGGAAAAGAATCACTCACCTTTCTTTTCAAGAGATCTCTGAAATATCTATCACTTCACTTCTTTCAACTATCACCTTAATCAACTAAATCTGCATATAGTTATAAGGATCTCACTCTAAAAGAAAGACTTGCAACTCCAATGACATACAACTCAATTGACACATATAAGTCAATTGGTCAATTCCTTATCTTGAAAGATATGGTTTGCTGCTTGCACATGATGCCTCTTCCTCCCCTCAATGTCAAAACTATAATTCCCCAACCTCAAGTTCTTCTTGATTCAAGTAAATTTTATCTAAACATTACTTGAATATATATATATATGAGGATACATGCCTAAAAATGTACTACTTATATATATATATATGTATAATATTTAATTAACTTAATTTAATATGAAGATTTACCTTATAAGTTTCTCGAATCAATCTCCTCTCAATTTGCACAAGTCACCAATTTCTCTTTCCAAGCAGAATAACTTTATATGAAGACTTTGTTTCAATCAAACTTTCCATTAATTAAATAGACATACCTTCACACACACGCGCGCACACACACACATACATTCAACTTTCAGAACAACATAATCTCTAACTTTGAATTCAATCTCTCTGTACTTGGGTCACGATATCCTCTCTGGAGCTCTTGAGCTAAATAAAGTCACTTTTAAGTTTGATGTAGTTTCTCGTAGCTTGATCAATCAGTTGAGATCTTAGAAGTTTTCTCTTGTTAAACTCAAACTAACACAGCAGATTTACATTTTCTATCAAAAAAACCATTATATGATTTTATGCCAGTTATCGCTTGAAAATTATTATTGTAGATGAACTTTACAAGTGGAATGTAATTCTATCAACCATCACCGAAGTCCATCATAAAAACTTAAAATAAGTACCTTAAATTTTGTCTTCCATGACTGACTGCCTTTATGAGTATGAGATTCAGTGCGGAAGTATAACCTTGTACTCAAAGCTTCCTTTTTTACTTTCCTTCATAGTCTAAAAGTTAAATTTTTAACTTGATCAATACATAAACCATTGGAATTCTATGCAGTAAAATAATATTACAGAAAAAGTCCCATTTACAGCATCACTAGGTCTGCAATAATTTATGTCAAGTTATTGCCATGACATTTATTATTTACACGGTGCTCACTTACAAATCCAAGTAAGATAACCTATAAATTCTCACCTTTTCAACTGAATTTTTCTCTTTTGACTCAGGCACCTTCCCAGGATATTCCAACAATTTGATAATGCAGAAGGTTTTCTGTTTCTTCAGGATTCCATGGTTCTTAATTATTGGAATCTTCTGCAGGCTGACAAGTCCAGGCTGTGGATTACTAACAAAGTTAATCAATTCCATCCCTGTTGACCTTAACTTTTTTTTCCTCCACCTTCTTGAAATACACACAACATTCCATATAATTTCTTCTTCTTTTCCCAGGTTCCCCAATCTTGGGCGTCTGTCTCCATCAATAGTAAGAGCTCAGAATGGTTTGTGAAGCAGGCAGCCATGGTGAAGAAAGTTGTGGACACTCTCCCTGTGCACCTTCAGGTTAGTTATAAAAAGGGAACCAGTGAAGATGAACTCATTATCTGCAGCAGCGAGATCTTTTATGTTCCTCGCCGCTTCGTCGGTGACTTCACCGACCTTGCCGAACTTGTTGGGGACCTAAATATACACCATAACGTTGCTGTACCGTTGTTTTTTATAGCCATGGATTCTGAGCAGAATTTTGACTCAGATGCCCTGGCGAGAGTTGTCTATGAGAAGGAATTGCCATCCAATGGTTCTGCATTGAGTCATTATAGGGCCAAAGCGCCGGCGGTGTACCCTCTGAAGGTGCAAAATGAGCCAGATTTTATAAAGCTGGTGCAGGTCATGGCTTCAGGTGACCCTCTGCTGATGGAATTGGTATGATTGCCTGAACCTGTTTTGATTCCAGTTTTTAGAAATTTCTTTGTTCTTATATAGTGTGCTTTCATGTGGCTTATAAAATTGGTTTATGTTTTATGATTTGTGGAGCTTAGGAAAATTTTTAGAGTGCACTATCATGTGCTTGTATGTTTGAATGGGTCCATACAAAGCTTAGAGCCTATTTGGGGTGCTGCTGTTTGTGAAATATTCATTATTTTTGGTAAAGCATTTTCTATTTAAAGTGGATATATATATCTACAGGCCTAGGTCCCAATATTATAAAAGTAAATAATAGGCCATAGTCGTTAACCTTTGAGGGAGGTTTTTTGATAATTTACAAGGTTGTTTGTATATAATAAAGTCCGGGGCCTATTCGATCGATGAGGGTTGCTGATCCCTCAAACCCCCCCCTCCCTCCTCAAATCGATCATTCTGAAAGCTGATGATCGTCTTAAGGGACTTTCTTTTGTCATCCTCTGTTCGATCGTTCTGCTAAAGCGTTTTCTCTGTCGCTGCTCACCTGAAACAATTTTCTATTGCTACTCTCAATCGGTTCTTCCTTTCTAGGTCGCCCATCTGCTTTGAGATTTGTGTGTACACATTTTCATGTGTACACTATATATATATATATATATATATATATATATATATATA